TTAAAATAATATTTTTTTTCATAAATATTATTTAACACTATCTGATTTGAAGAAATGGGGAACTTTTCTTCAGATCAAATGCTTTCCGTAATTCTCTATTTGAAATTAATTTTAATCTTTTGATACACCTCGAAAAATTTGCTGAGGGATGTATGTCCTTAACCGAATGTTTTAAAAACGGGATGTCGAACATGTAAGTTTAAGTCATATATATTCAAGCCCCGAAAATTTTTTCAGTCCCCTACAGTAAGAACCAGGACTAATCACTAATCTACGCCGTTAGTAAAAGGTAACACCACAGCAAATACAAAAAAAAAACTTACCCTAGCATAATCGAAATTGTCTACCGCCTTTACTTTTGTCCTGTCTGAACACTGCCCCGATGTTGTGTATTGCGAATAACAATACGTTATCAGTGCAAGAAATACAATCACAAAAAATTGTTTGAACATTTTTACTAAGTAATACAAAGTATAATGACTTAAGTTTTTTTCGATCCGTATATATACACATACCCCTTCAAATAAAATGTTGTTCAAACTAATCAACGTAATCCATTCTATGCATATGCGTCTCTTATCTAAATCCTCCAACCAATTAAGGAACAATCACGTACGTGGTGATCGTATTTTATTAGTGACAACGGTATTTTTTGTGCGTTTTTTAATCAGGTGTTGGAAATACTTAAGTGCTTGCACGTGGAATTTCTCAGAGATATAGGTGTTTTTAATTTCATTCAGGGTCGCGTAATTTTTATAATTAAAATGGTCAAAAACTTAATAAGACTTTTCAAAAACATTAGGCAGTTTAATTATTCATTTGTTGTTGCATTAAAAATGAAGATATTTCAAAGGGGTGTTTATGAAGCTTTAAGGCGTTATTTCTTGAATATTTTGTCATTGGCGATTTTTGGAAAGCTACACATAAATATTTTTCGGTTTATCGAATTTAAATCCCTATAAATATTATTTACTCCATTAGAAAATGTGGAATATTTGAAAAAATTATATTATTGCCCGGTGTAATTGTGCTGCTTTTTAACCCTCGACACAAAACAAGGGTGTTATAACGATAACGTGTGTATCTAGATATCTATCAGTGGCACCGTAGATCTTAAACAAACAGTTTTTTTTTGTTTGAAAGATGATTCGTTACTGTCAAACAAGTGTAACATTGTTTAATTGATTTTTTTTAATAATTTCTGATAACATATTTATTAGTATCGATCAACAAAAAATAAAATTAAGTTTAGAGAAATATGGTGTTGATTCTAGTAAATTGTTTATCAGGTGATATTTATTTATCATTTGGGAATGTTCTCGAACCTTCTAGAAAAGAGGAAAAAATTGATTCAAATAATTTTATTCACATGCCAACAAATTCATTACAGATTAAATTTAAACAAATTTTAAGGGTATGGTAAGCATTGCTTTGGGTCCTGTACAGCATACGTCGGTGCTAGATCAGAGAGACCGTTGTCACTAAGGATTTGCTTTACTTTAGCTGCTTGTTGTGACGTGTAAACCGTTGTCCTGCTCCTGGCCCATATTAATTCTAGAAAGACAATTGTATAATAACCGACTCGATAGAGAAGTGATCAAGGAATTAAAAATTAATCATGCTATTTTTTGGCCATAAAATCAAACAATTTTTGAAATTCTGCTGAAGCTGTTTGCGACGCGTTTATGAGATCCAACAATCGTAATCGCCATCCACATCTGTCCCTTTCTACAGAACATTTACCTTCATGAACTTTTTNAATTTCTCCAAATAATCCAAAAAAATTGGCTTAGTGATAGTTTTTTTATTATTTACAACACTACTTTTTGTGCGTTTTTTAATCAGTCTTGCAAAATATTTAAGTGCTTGTACGTGAAATTGTTCAGAGATACCGTTGTCTTTAGGTTCACTCAGGGTCGCGTAATTTTTACAATTAATTTACTAGTTTTTGAGGTGATTGTAGTCAAAAACTAAATGTTTCTCAAAAATATTAGACTGTTTAATCATTCATTTGTTGCATGAATAATCAAGATCATGAATGATATTTCAAAGGGTTGTTTATTAAACTACAAGGCGATATTTCTATGAATATATTGTCGTTGGATATTTTTGGGATGAGTTACAAAGATAGAAGAGTGATACTTAGTTTGTATAAAGAACAACAGGCAGTTATAGAGATGGGGCTGCAACGTATAGAAGTAAATATTAGGAAGGGAGTCAGACAGGGATGCACCCTGTCACCGCTACTTTTTAATCTATACATCGAAGACGCGATCAACATCATTAAAGACTGGACAACTGTAGGGATAAAGATACAGGGAGAAAAGATTAGTATGCTTAGATTTGCAGATGATATAGCAGCCAGCAAGGAGGACCTAGAGTTAGCTTTAAATAAAATGGAAGCGGTACTAACAGATCAGTGATGACTTTTAGTTAATTGAATGTATTAATTGTTTAAACAAACAATGAAATAATAGATAAAAAAAAGTCTTTTTTTCTCTGAAAAGACAGCTTAACCGATTAAGATAAGTTACGAACCGATTAAATTTTTTAAAAATTTCCGCGAATTCCGAGGCCTCTTTGCCATTGGGCGCGCCGAACTTTTGTTCTATGAAAAATGAAAAAAAGTCATGAATACTTTTTTTTTGCAAAATGGCATTGCGAAATACTTTTATTGAAACTTTTTTCGCGAGAAAATCGAATTTGCAATTGTTTTTGCGGATTTTGTCCCTCCCCCCCCTATGCCGGAGAAACAATTTTCATTTACATATTCGTCTTCTTCACGAAATTTCCGATAAAATGACCCGTTTATCTATCATTTTGTCCATCTTTTCGGCCATTTCCCTCATATGACTAGACTATACCACATATGGTGATCTACCATCGTGGATTCAGTTTAGCACGTAAATATCCACCTGTGTAAGTAATGGATTTTGATAATCATATAGAATTCCACTATGTGTAGCATTGTACTACAGATAGCGTTTATCGCGCCGTTTGTAGGATTTCATAATCGCAATGTCGAGGCAACAGACAGAGTTGATCTGTGATCTGTCGGAGCCGTCTACAACGTGCTGATGCGATCTAACAAGATCAAAATCGCGAACCTCGTCTACTAATGTCTTTGTTGCATTCCGTAAAATTTCTAGCTAGTATTGAGTAAAAGAATTATTACTGTCTTACCCATTTTGCTTGAGCTATTTAAATTGAGGCATCTGTAGTCCAGGGTGAACGAATCATATTCGACTCCAAGAATCGGATATACTAATGGACTGCTAACATTGGGGTATTTTAGACTTATAATACCGTTACGTGTACCACTATCGGGTGTCCACGTAACGACGCCATCGGATCTACCATTCCATGTACCAGTAGTTAAATTCTTTCGTCTCCAAAAGAAATCGACGGTTACGTTTGACGTGATGGTAAAATTCACAAATTGGCAATCGGCCGGGGTGTTGTATGTGAAAATGGTGTACCATTTTTTGCCAGTCTCTCCGTACTGTTGACAAAAAATTGCAAGTTGCAAATTTCGTATAGATTCGTAGATTTATGTATACGCTATTAGGGCACAAACCGATATTAATAGATTTCCTTATGAGTTTTACAAACTTTATGTAGTTGAGATTGCCACGAGTGATAAAAGCTCTTATTTTTTAGGGGTCAAACCCACCCACCAGTATAGAAAATGACTTAAAATCTTAAACATTTTTGTGAAATATTAAATCTTATTTGTCCATATGTAATTTTCATTACTTTTCTCAGAAATGCTCGTTTTTGTTTTAATTTCATCATCTAAATTCCTAACAGGCAAATTCTGGTTTTGACTTAATTTTAACATTTAGTGGTTGTCGGTAACATTTCTTCAGATCGAATGCTTTCCACAATTAATGAAGCTATTTCAATTGGAGCAGATGGAGATAGAATATTAATTTTTTGATATACCTTAAAAAGATCGCTAAGGGATGTGCGCGTCCGCAAGTCAATCTTTTGCAAACGCGATGTTAGGTATTAACTTAACCAATCGTAGAATACTGAAACCCTAAACATTTTTGCAGTTACCGACAGTTCTACGTAAAAACCAGGATTAATCACTAATTCAGGTCGCTAGTAAAAGCTAGTAAATGAAAAAGACTTACCTTCGCAAAATCGAAATTGTCTACCGCTTTTACTTTTTTTCTGTCTGAACACTGCCCTGATGACGTGTATTGTGAATAACAATACGTAATCAGTGCAAGAAATGCAATCACGAAAAATTGTTTAAACATTTTTACTAAGTACTTTTAGTCTGTTGCTTACAAAGTGTAATGACTCAAATTTTTTCGTGATCCATATATATATACATATTCAAATTAATTGACTTAATTTTTTCTGTGGAAATGTATCTCTTATCTAATTTCTCCAAATAATCCAAAAAAATTGGCTTAGTGATGGTTTTTTTATTATTTACAACACTACTTTTTGTGCGTTTTTTAATCAGTCTTGGAAAATATTTAAGTGCTTGTACGTGAAATTGTTCAGAGATACCGTTGTTTTTAGGTTCACTCAGGGTCGCGTAATTTTTACAATTAATTTACTAGTTTTTGAGGTGATTGTAGTCAAAAACTAAATGTTTCTCAAAAATATTAGACTGTTTAATCATTCATTTGTTGCATGAATAATCAAGATCATGAATGATATTTCAAAGGGTTGTTTATTAAACTATAAGGCGATATTTCTATGAATATATTGTCGTTGGATATTTTTGGGATGAGTTACAAAGATAGAAGAGTGATACTTAGTTTGTATAAAGAACAACAGGCAGTTATAGAGATGGGGCTGCAACGTATAGAAGTAAATATTAGGAAGGGAGTCAGACAGGGATGCACCCTGTCACCGCTACTTTTTAATCTATACATCGAAGACGCGATCAACATCATTAAAGACAGTACAACTGTAGGGATAGATGTGCAAGGGCAAAAGATTAGTATGCTTAGATTTGCAGATGATATAGCAGTATTAGCATCTAGCAAGGAGGACCTAGAGATAGCTTTAAATAAAATGGAAGCGGTACTGACAGATCAGTACTGTATGAAAATAAATAAAAGTAAAACTAAAATACTGGTATGCAAGGGAAGAAAAAGTAGGGAAAGAGCGAATATAAAGATAGGAGACGAAAAATTAGAAGAAGTGGCTGATTTTAGATACCTAGGAAGTCAGATAAGTGAGGATGGAAGGAGTAGTAGGGATATAAAGCAGAGGATAGCGCAGGGTCGTGTCGCCTTTAATAAAAAGAAGTCACTTCTATGCTCGCGAACGGTTAATTTAGAAATTCGAAAAAGGTTGTTAAAGGTGTATGTTTGGAGCACGGCGTTGTACGGGTGCGAAACATGGACAGTGGGCGCGGCGGAAAAGAAAAGGTTAGAAGCGTTCGAAATGTGGTGTTATAGGCGGATGATGAGGATATCGTGGGTAGAAAAGGTTAGAAATGAAGAGGTATTGGAAAGAATAGGAGAACAGAGGACTCTATGGAAGTCAATAAAAAATAGGCGAGATAGGTTGGTATGACACCTCCTCAGGCTAGTCAGAGACATATTAGAGACAGAAACGGAAGTTAGGAGGGGTAGAGTTAGACCAAGGTTAGATTACTGTTCGCAAATAGTTAAGGATATGGGTTGTTCTGGTTTCAGGGAATTGCGAAGATTAGTTCAGGATAGAAAAGAAATTTTTATAAAACTGGTGGAAATACAGGGCGATGTCCATTTTTCGACAAAACCATCATATTACACTAAGTTCATATCATAAAATAAACCTTTTGAAACGTTTAAATGCAACTAGTTTAGCAAATAATTCTTTCCTTCAGTTTGTACTTCCCAATGAATTAAACAAATGTGGCAATGAATCTTAGCCATTATTTTTGATTCTTGATAAAATGTAAGCTACGGTAGTATACATCGCTAAAATCTAATAAGAATTGTCCATCTTGTTTAAATCGAAGAGCATTCGATATTATTTGCTCAGATCTGCTAAAAAAATTTTTTTGTATCGAGAAATGTTTGGGTTTATAAACGACATCACTTTGTATAGGTTTCCAAACATCTTTGTTACCACATATTGCAAATATAATAATATATATCTAAACAGTTAATCGCAGCTTTATTTTCATCCGACTTTAATTTGCTTAAAGCCAATTTAAGGTTCCTTGGTGTCATTAAAACAGATCACTTGCGGATAATAACAACAACCTACGCAGTTATCAATAACGAGTGTGAAAAATGAAACAATTTGTCTATTGTTTTAATATAACTAACAATTGAATGAACGTATCATATGTGTGTAGTAAATTTTTTGAGGTACAGCAAAAATATGATATTGTAAATACTTGTAACTAGAATTTTTAGTTACTTAGACAAATGTAGGTGGTCTGTATGACATCCCGTTCTTTAAGTAGTCTTGCAATTTTCTTAAAATAAAGTTTTTCTGTTTTCTAAAAATGGATTACAGTAAAAGCTCTTTATTCGCGGGGTATACGTTCCATAAATATGCCGCGAATACAGAAACCGTGGATATAAAATGGTAATAAGTATGGAATGGTAGGGGATACGTTCTAAGGTTCTACAATAAAACCAATATGTATCAAAATAAAATCAATGTATTGATAAATTCGCAATTAAAATTAATCGTTATAATCAGCTTTAGGCAAGAGTTTAATCAAAAGATGCTGATACGTTGAAAAATAACACCGAATCCTCTTCTACTCGGCACGCATCAACTGTAAATATTCAAAAGATGGCGATACATCAAGGGGATTCAGTAGTACACGCGCCGTAGAGTAAAACATGCCTATCGGTTGTAGATATCATGAGTTTAGTATTTGGAAAAGAGGTTTGAAATTTTGTAGTAAGATAGATAAAGCTTTGTTCTAAAGCTTGTCGAAGGCCATTTTTTAAATTTTTAATTTCTATTGAAAATACGTGTCCTACAAGAAGCATCAACTTTAAGCACTTGTAAAAGTTTTTAATGACCGTATTACTGAAAACCAAAAACGTACCGAGTTAGTGTGAACCTTTGTCTGTTACCATACAAAAAATCAAATATTTATCTCTCAGCGTTAAATCACAATCTTTAGAATAGAAACCCATGTTTATGGAAAAATTCACACTAGGCACGAGCGGTCTATTGCTGTCAATCCCCTTAATAAATGACACCGAATCCTTTTCTGTTAACCGATTGTAACCGCGAATACAGGAACTGGGATGCAATTTTTTCACCCGCGAATAAGGAAACCGTGAATAAGAAAATTTTACTGTATAACTTTAAACAAAAAATAAATTCGTTTACTGGTATTACGTTTAGTAGAACGTTGGTTAAAGATGGCCGCCGTATGCGGGTACCAATCAGAGGTACGGCCTCCAGGCTATTGTAATTAAGTAGAAGACATAAAATTACTTCAACACACGTTCACACTTTTATGATCTCGCACTACTATTTTTATAAGTTTCAGGGTTTAGGTTTAAGTTTACTTATTCATAAAAGAAATAAATTGATTCAAGAAAATTTATTCACACACTAACAGATTCATTACAGATTAATTTTATACAAATTTTAAGGGTATGGTAAGCATTTCTTTGGGTCCTGTACGGCATATGTCGGTGCCAAATCGGAGAGACCGTTATTATTAAGGATCTGCTTTACTTTAGCTGCTACTTGAGGTTTATAAACCGTTGTCCTGCTCCTGGCCCATATCAATTCTAGAAAAACAATTGTATAGTAACCAAAAATATAATAAAAGGTCGAATATCCTTAAGACTAACGGTCGGTCGAATTAAAAATTAATCAGCATAGTGAATCGGTCTCGGATAGATTTTCGTATTTTTTTTTTTTCGAATGAATCGAAGACAAAGAAGAATCAGAAAATATTTATATGATCGTAAACGACTTAAACGAAAGTATTTATAATAATCATTAGAAACTTATGACGACTCCGGTATCCCTCCCAAGTCGATTCAATGTTTATCGCCTTACAGCCTTTATCATGTTATATCTTGTCCATAAAGTAACTCAATTTTTGAAATTCTACACGGCGCTGTAAACGCTACAGTGCTAAATTTAGTGGAATTCAATATTTTGAACAAGGTTCATTTACATAAATCGATATCTACTTGCTTAACTGTGTCATGTCGAAGCTGTTTGCGACGCGTTGATGAGATCCAACAGGATCGAAATCGCAATCAGTTTCTACAGAACTTCATGAACTTCTTTGTTCGATTTTGGTAACCTGTGTATCACGTATGGTGATCTATGCGGTGAAGTTGGTTCAGCAAGTAGAATATCCATCTGTGTAAATGAACCTTGATGGAGTTTAGTGTGCCGTTGACACAACCAGCATGAACTTCATTATTCCATTTAATTTTTCGTGATAAACATTGCGTCTATTAGTTTTAAATAAAAAATTTACTACTGTCTTACCCATTTTGCTTGAGCTGTTTAAATTGAGGCATCTGTAGTCCAGGACGAACGAATCATAATCGACTCCAAGAATAGGATATACCAATGGGTCGGGAACATTGGGGTATCTTAGACTTATAATCCCATTACGTTTACCACTGTCGGGTGTAAACGTAACCACGCCATCGGACCTACCATTCCATTCACCAGTAGTTAAATTCTTTCGTCTCCAAAAGAAATTGACGGTTACGTTAGACGTAATGGTAAAATTCACGAATTGGCAATCGGCCGGGGTGTTGTATGTAAAAATAGTGTACCATCTTCTGCCAGTCTGTCCATACTGTTGGGAAAATATTGCAATAAATTAAATGAATATTTTTTTCATCTGTACATTCATACATTTATGTACTTATATGGTATTAATTAACGCACAAAAGACCTTTAATTTCGATATGAGTTTTACTTTTACTTATAATGTAGAGGAGATTGTTGGTAGTGATGAACGGTTAGGTTTACTATAGTTTTTGGAGTTAAACCGAAGACATGTTTAGAACATGACTTAAAATCTGAACAGTTTTCCCAAATATTAAACTTTATTTGCCCGCATGTAAGTTTCATGACGTTTTAAAAAATACTACAAATGGCGCAGTAAACGCCATCTGTAGCACGATGCTACATTTTAGGATTACGTATGCTCCAACAAGGTCCACTTCGAATTATTTTATTCATGACGTTTGTCAGAAATATTTTTATTTGTTTTAATTACATCAACTTCCTAACAAACTAGTTGACTTAATGTTCCCATTTAGTGGTTGTTTAACATTATTAAATCTGATGGACATAGAATATTAATCTTTTGATAGACCTTAAAATGGTCGCTGAATCGTTAAGATCCGCGATGTCGAACATGTAGAAGTGAAATTTGGTATAAACCTAACCAGCGATAAAATATGAACATTTTTGCAGTCCCCCACAGCCATACGTTAAATCCAGGACTAATGACTAATCAAAGCCGCTAGTTAAAGGTAGTACAGCAAAAAAAAAAACACTTACCTTGGCAAAATCGAAATTTTCTACCGCTTTTAACTTTTTTCTGTCTGAACACTGCCCTGACGACGTGTATTGCGAATAACAATACGTTATCAACGCAAGAAAGGCAATCACGAAAAATTGTTTAAACATTTTTACTAAGTAATACAAAGTATAATGGCTCAAACTGTTTCTTGATCGGTATATATACACATGTCCACGCGAAGAAAAAAAGTTCAAATTAATTAACCTAATCCATTCTGTGGAAATGTGTTTCTTATCTAAATCTTCCGACTAATTAAAGAGCAATCACGTAGTGATTTTTTTTTAATTATTAGCAAATGTATTCTTTGTGCGTTTTTTTTAAGCAGACGTGGGAAAAATTTAAGTGTTTGCACGTGGAATTACTTAGATACCGTTGTTGTTAAATCGTTCAGGGCGCCTAATTTTTGAAATTAATTTACTCGTTTTTGACGCGATCATAGTCAAAAACCAAATAAGGCTGTTCAAAATATTAGGCAGTTTAAGCATTTATTTCTTGCATAAAAAATAAAAATCATAAATTATATTTCAAAAGAGTCATTGGCGATTTTTGGAAAGTTGCTTAAAATACAGGAGGGTGGAAACTTCTCGGTAGACTCCCTATTTTGGGTTTACCGAAAACAAAAGAAATGTGCAAAATGTGTTTTTAATATTCAGAAATAATTCCTATTGCCTACTAAGAACGAAGGGATGTGCAATGTGGTTTATGAACGAACACTTTTTAGTGTAATTACTTGTAGGTTTTAAATAGTAACATGTTCAAGATGGGCTCACTTATAATTTGTTCGACTTAATCTCCAATGATTATTATATCGGGGAAAATCGTTAGTTTACACTACCTCACTGGGAAATGTGGAAATATAATTATTTACTTGTGTAATTGTGCTTCTTTTTAACCCTCTACGCAAAATAAGGGTGGTATAAATTTAACGTGTGTATCTGAGTGTCTGTCATTGTCTGGCATTGTAGCTCCTAAACGAATATTTTTTTTTTGTTTTGAAGGGTGATTGGATCAAGAGTGTTTTGAACTATGATTTGTTGCAAACAAACAAGTTTAATCATTATAATTAAAATTTTTTATAAAAATGGTACGTATATTTGTATCAGTTACGTTTTTTTGCGGATTTTTTGTGTTTTTTTTATCGTTTTGTGAGTTCGTCTCAAATAAATACTGCAGAGTAATTGCTTACTTGAATATAAGGAAAACAATGATTGATTAATTTTTTTTTGATCATTTCAAATAACATATTAATTTATATCGAACAACAAAAAATACACAATTCAAATTGATATGCTGTTAACTTTAGTAAATTGTTTACCAATTCATATTTACTTGATGACAAGCTGAATTATCCTCGTTTAGCCATAGAGAAATTAGTACTGGGGATGTAGGGCATTCAAGAAAAATTTGGCATATTCTGTTTTTAACCAGATGTTGAAACTCAATTGACAACTTCGCTGCCTCTATTCGGAGTCTTTTTGGGCGATAGTCTTTGCATCTCCATAATTTTTAAACCAACCCCTGTAGTAGAAAACCGAAACCTTTTTCAAGGACGGGAGATGGACGACTGTCATATCATATAACCCTTTCGGTTCGATGTGTACCCATTCTAATTTTTAATTTCGTTGACTTCTTTATAAATATAAGAATAAAAATAATCAGTAGTTTCGTTGACTTTTGAACACGTGTAATAATGACCTTATGCTGAAGTCATAATCTAATATTTCGTTGACATTTAAACACTTGTGATAATGACCTTATGCCCTTGGTATAATCTGTAATGTCGTTCACTTTTTATATGTATGATAATGATCTTATGCTGTAGGTATGATCTATAATTTCGTTTACTTTTGAACACGTGTGATAATGACCTTATGCTGTAGTATAATCTGTAATTTCGTTGACTTTTGAACACGTGTGATAATGACCTTATGTTGTAGGTATAATCTGTAATTTCGTTGACTTTTGAACACGTGTTATAATGACCTTATGTTGTAGATGTAATCTTTAATTATATAATCTAAGTAAAGTCGTACGTTATATCAAAAGTTTGCTTAAAGTAAATTACACACATAAGTTCACAGTCAACTGGGACATTTCATACGATACGGATTGATTGGATTGGGTCAATGTATTTGACTTAAATAACTATACAATTGCCTCTAGGAGCCTACCTGTCGTCTTTTGTTTATTCAAAGAAAGGGAAAAAATGTTCAAGTAAACTCATTCACATTGCTAATAGCTTTTATTTGCATTAATTTCCTAGAAATTTTACTGTTATTTTATGGTGAGCAACGTGCTGGGTCCTGTACGGCGTATGTCGGTGCTAAATCAGAGAGACCGTTATCACTAAGGATCTGCTTTACTTTAGCTGCTTGTTGTGCTGTGTAAGTCCTGTTCCTGCTCCTCGCCCATATTAATTCTAGAAAAACAATTGTATAACTATCATACTATTGAGAGGTGGGTAAGGACTATTAGGACTTCTTTAAGTTCCAAATAAAAAAAGGCGAAATTCCACTTACTACTGGATATTTCGAGTTGCAATTCGACGAACTACAAGTCGAACTTTCGAATTTCAAGACAAAATTTCAAGTTGCGAATAGTAAGTCCAGCTTTCGAGTAGTAAGTCCGAATTTCAAGTTGTATGTCGAACTTATAAGTAATAAGTCGAAATTTCGCGCAGCAAATCAAAATAAGTCGAAATTTCGCGCGGCAAGTCAAATCTTCAAATAGTAAGTCGAAGTTCTGAGTAGCTACAGGTCGAACTTACGACTTTAAAGAAGAAATTTCAAGTTGCGAGTAGTAAGTCCAAATTTCAAGTTGCATGTCGAACTTGTAATAAGTCGAAATTTCGTGCAGCAAATCAAAATAAGTCGAAATTTCGCGTAGCAAATCAAAATAAGTCCAAATTTTGCGCGGCAAGTCAAATCTTCAAATAGTAGGTCGAAATTCTGAGTAGCTACAGGTCGAACTTTCGACTATCAAGAAGAAATTTGAAGTTGCGAGTAGTAAGTCCAGCTTTCGAGTAGTAAGTCCAAATTTCAAGTTGCATGTCGAACTTGTAATAAGTCGAAATTTCGCGAAGCAAATCAAAATAAGTCGAAATTTCGCGCGGCAAGTCAAATCTTCAAATAGTAAGTCGAAATTCTGAGTAGCTACAGGTCGAACTTTCGACTATCAAGAACAAATTTCAAGTTGCGAGTAGTAAGTCCAGCTTTCGAGTAGTAAGTCCAAATTTCAAGTTGCAGGTCGAACTTTTGAGTAATAAGTCGAAATTTCGCGCAGCAAGTCAAATTTTCGGGTAGTAAGTTGAAATATCGGGTCGTTAGAACTCGAATTTTGCGTTGCAAATCGAACTTTCGAGTAATATCTATTAATCAAAATTGATTAATATTATAAATTCCCTAGTTTTAAGTTGATAGTACTCTCTTACCCATTCTGTTTGTGCTGTTTATATTGACGCATCTGTAATCAAGCGTGTACCCATCATAATCAATTCCAAGGATTGGATATATCAATGGATCGGCGATATCGGGGTATTTCAGACTTATAATCCCATTACGTGTACCATTGTCGGGTGTCCACGTAACCACACCATCGGTCCTACCAATAAACCAATTACCGGTTGTTAAATTTTTCCTTTCCCAAAAGAAATTTAGGGTTACGTTTGACGTAACGGTGAAATTTGCAAACTGACAGTCGGCCGGGGAGATGTATGTGAAAATGGTGTACCATTTTCTTCCAGTAGCTCCGTACTATCAAGAAAACAATACAACAGTGAATTGGATGTGAAATTTCTTTAATTTTTATGTGCTAGAAATTACACCAAATTAATGAGAAAAAGTCGTTGCTGCCGTCACACCCTTGCCGGGAATAGATCCCGGTACCTTTGGCTTCACGAACCAATGCTCTTACCATTAAGCTCCAAGAGGTGACAGCATCAATGTTATATTTTAACTATTAAAAGTTTCTTAAAGTGTTTCATATGAATCGAAGCTGACGTCAGGACAACATTAGTTCATCTACTGACCGCGAAAACCATTACCATTTTATATTTCATACGAATTGGATAAATATTATTTCTACACCTCGACTATAGGTACTAAAATTTCAAATTTTTGCAATCGCCTAAGCTACGTTTCTTTTGATTGTTTTTTGTTAAATTATATCACAACCCAAATTTTAGGCCAATAAAAGTTTAGATAAAATAAAGTCAACTTACCTTCTCAAATTGGAAATTTTCTACCGGCTTTATATTTTTTCTATCCGAACACTGGCCTGGTAACGTGTATTGCGAGTAAGAAAATGAAATTAGTGCAAGAAAAAAAATCGCGAGTAGTTGTTTAAACATTTTTACAACCTTTAGTTTGTTGCCTTCAAAGTATAATGGTTGTAAATTTTTATTGAATCCACCGAGATATATACGAATAAAATTGTTCAACAAAATAATCTTACGAACCTAATCCTGTCCTGTCAAGTTTGTATCAAACAATAAGTTTCGTTTTATTGGAAATGTGCCGTTATCTCTCGACTCTAAAGAATTCACGTAGTGATTGTTTAGTATTATTGAGAACTGATTTTTTCGAGCATTTTTTTAAACCAATTGTTAAAAAATATATGATATAATGAAGTGCTTTCACGTGGAGTTATTTGCTCAGGGTCGTCTAAAGCTTTTTCATGGTTATATCTACAAAAAAATTTGAAATTCGTTTAATAGTGTTCGAGTTTATCTTAAACAAACAACCATCCGTCATGATAGTCTGCTTTTTTTTTGGTTTTAGGTTTCTCTGAATTCGAGACTAGGCAAAAATTAACGGTAATCTCATTAGAAATTGTTGTGAACAAAACAAGCTTGTAGGTAGGTTTAGTACACTGGGTTTATAAAACGACGTAATTGTGTGTGGTGGTTGTAATCACTGCAGATATGGAGTAGGCACTTCTATGAAGCGAAATAAAAAGTAGTATCTACATAAATTTTAACCGTAATAATGATAATTGCTGGGCTGGTGAACTCGATATTTTACTAATGGATTAAATACCTGAAGCATTATGCGTTTTATGCGTACCAGGGTGGTGTAGTAAAAGGAAGAAAGTCGATTGAGTATGTATTTGTTACCAGAAATGTATGAAATCTAGGAATTGTATATAATTCCTAGGAAAAGTATACAATTTAGGAAATGTATAAAATAGTGTTTCAAAGATTTTTTAATTCACACATATCCTGGGAAATGGATACATCCCCTAGGAATTGTATGAAATTCCGATATTGTAGGTACGAGGAAATTTTATTAGATTTCTCCCAATTTTTTATTTATTAAACAAAGGAAGAAATTAATTTAAAAAACCCATTTACTTGCTAACAGATTTAATATTCATTTCATAAAAATTTCACAAATTTTACCGTTTTATTTTAAAATAAGCAAGTACCTGCGTCCTGTATAACGTATGTCTTTTCTATATCGCCGAGACCATTATCTTCAAGAATTTTCTCGACTTCAGCTGCGCTTTCGCTTGAAAAAGCCCTAGTCCTGCTTCTGACATATAATATTTCTGGAAAAACAAAAAATAGTTTAAAGACTAACGATTGATTGATTTTTACAATAAATGTGAGAAGTTAACAAAAGAAATCAAAAAACTTGATGAAGCACATGATCAATAGAGCGACATTTTGTTTTTTTATTAAAACTTTTGTGGACTCGGAAAGGGTTGGAATTGAGGAAGTATGAGAAAGAGTAGGAGAATAACGGACGCTATAGAAGTCAAGAAAGAATAGACGGGATAGGCTACTCAGACATGAAGGGCTAATTAGAAACATATTAGAAGCAGAAACAGGAGTTAAGAGAAGTGGAGGTAGACCTACATTAGACTGTTGTTCACAAATAGTTAAGGATGTATGATATGGTAGTTTTAGGGAAATGCGAAGATTAGCCCAAGATAGGAAACATGGACTCTAAAATTAAATCGTGTGTGAGGTGTTTAGTAAATTTTATGTCACTTCTTGTCCACAAAATCATTTAATTTTTCATCATAAATATAAACTTTAGTATTGTCTTTATTAGGTCTTAGAAGAAAATTAATTTGTATTTACTCGTTCTTACCTTTTCTGCGTTCGGAATCTATATTTTCGCAGTTGTAATCAATAGTGAACAAATCATAATTAAACCCGAGAATTGTAAATTGCACTGGATCGACAGCTTTGTCGTATTTTACATCTATGATCCCTTTACCGTTATCACTAGCCAATGTAACTACACCATCAGATTTAGACCATTGCTTTATTGATAAATATTTTTGATGCGACGTTAAATTGGAAGATAGAGACGAAGTTCCTTCAAAGTTTAGATACTGGATGTTGGAAGTAAACACAGTGAACCATCTCCTCATAGCTGCATACTATTAAAAAAATACAATGAATTTGATAAATCATCAACATCATAAGGTCGTCCGTCCTAAGACTGGTACCTCCACTCCTTCCTAATCTGACCTAAACTTCGCATTTCCCTAAAACTAGAACAACCCATATCCTTAACTATTTGCGAACAGTAATCTAATCTAGGTCTACCTCTACCCCTCCTAACTCCTGTTTCTGCCTCTAATATGTTTCTGACTAGACCTTCATGCCTGAGAAGGTGTCCTACCAACCTATCTCGCCTATTTTTTATTGATTTGCATAGAGTTCTCTGTTTAACTATTCTTTCGAAAACCTCTTCATTTCTAACCTTTTCTACCTACGTTATCCTCATTATTCACCTATGACGTCACATTTCGAAGACTTCTACCCTTTTCTTTTCCAACGCGCCCACTGTCCATGTTTCGCAGCCGTATAACGCCGCGCTCCAAACATACACCTTTAACAACCTTTTTCGAATTTCTAAATTAACCGTTCGCGAGCATGCAAGTGACTTCTTTTTATTAAAGGCGACACGACCATGCACTATCCTCTGCTTTATATCCCTACTACTCCTTCCATCCTGACTTATCTGACTTCCTAGATACTTAAAATCCTATATTTATTTTCTCTCTTTCCCTACTTTTTCTTCTCTTGCATACCAGTATTTTAAACTACAACAACCCACATCCTTAACTATTTGCGAACAGTAATCTAATCTAGGTCTACCTCTACCCGTCCTAACTCCCGTTTCTGCCTCTAATATGTCTCTGACTAGACCTTCATGCCTGAGAAGGTGTCCTACCAATCTATCTCGCCTATTTTTTATTGACTTCCATAGAGTCCTCTATTCTCCTATTCTTTCTAATACTTTTTCATTTCTAACCTTCTCCATCCGCAGTATCCTCATCATTCGCCTATAACACTACATTTCGAAGGCTTCTAACCCTTTCTTTTGCACCGCGCCCACTGTCCATATTTAAAAATAATATAATAACGAAATAGCCACCTTTTCTCAATTGGGGCAGATGATCCATTCAAAGAAATCCCAATGTCACTCATTGTGTTTAAAAACACAATATCATATAATTTTCAAACACCTGACACTGTTTTGGTACTTTTTCGTTACAGTGACTTATTAGTTATTTTTTGTTTACTGTTAAATTATAAGTCTGAGTGGTGAACGTCGCGAATAAAAGGTTTAAAATAAAAGCAAGTTACCCTAGCAAATTTGAAATTATTTACTGCTGTTAGTCCTGCTCTATCTTCACATTGACCTGGAGAGATGTATTGCGAATAAGAAGATGAAATTAATGTAAGAAAAACAATCGCGAAAAGTTGTTTAAACATTTTTACTACTTCTCGATTGCTACATACAAACTATAATGATACTGTATTCTTCTGGACGTTTATATATATGAAGACAAATTGTTCTTGTTTAACAAATTAGGTTAATTAACCTGTTCGCGCCTAATTATGTATCGATGTTTAGTAAATGTACTGTTATCTCTCATCCCTCAAACAATGATAAAAGGATTCGCGTGATTGCTGTTTTTGTTTGCACGGGTCATTACCCGGGCGCATCGTTTTCTTTTTGTCTTTTTAGACAGTATTACGTATAAGATAAGTGTGCTAGTTTTTGAGTATTTTGTATTCGAAATTTTTTTCCAAATGAGGTGCCCACTGTTTCTTTGAACTGGAGGTCCTCCCGTGGTACACAAAAATTATCAGTTAGTTCACAAACAATAAAAGTCACACTGATTTCATTGCAATTCGAACAATTTTATGATTTACGGCCGATTGAAAACTTGATCATTTGAAATTGTGTCGCCTTCCGTTTATTAACATACATACCTATATTTCTTATTTCCAAAGGGCACCATAACTTGTCACGAATGCTCCAACCGGTTACCGACAAATAGGCGAAATGGCATTAGGAAATATGGTTATAACTGTCTTTTAATTTGTCGCTGAGAAACTTTTACCCATATTGTTGCAAGTTATTGGAGACCGTCTAGCTCAGGGATGAGCAACACGCGGCCCGTTAAAAATATTTCTGCGGCCCACCAAGCATTTCTAAAATTTGAATTTATTTTATCGACTTTGAATCGAAAATGTTTTGTTCACCATCTAATATCGACGTGGATACAGTTCTCGAAGATTTTCAAATGGACGGGATTGACATGCAGAATAATACTGACTTAAAAAATGTATTTTTCTCAGTAAACATCAAAAATTTTTATAAACCGTATGTGAACCCCGAGAAATTTGCGCTTTTGACGAAAAATGCAAAGCAAATTATGTCTCTGTTCGGAAGTACGTACATATGTTTGCGAAACAAGTATTTTCAATCATGAAATTTGTCAAAAATGACCACCGATCAAGACTGACTGATGCACGATTAGAAAGCTGCGTACGTGTAGGTACCTCATCAATTCCGGTTGATATTGATCAGCTTGGATCGAAACAACAGTGCCAAATTTCTCATTAAAAATTTCAAGACAATAAAATAATTCGAAGTGGTCTGTATTCTGTCGAAACTGCCTGACGCGGATCGCGATTTCGATTTCTTTGGATCTCATCAGCGCGTCGCAGGCAGCTCCGACAGAACACAGACCAACTTTTACCTGCTGTCTTAACAGTGCGNTTATTTTTCGACGGAAAATATTATATTTGGAGAGCTATAAGCCTAAAACATCTTTTTCTCATATACGAATGACAAGTTTTACTGCAGGTCGAACCTGAAACTCCATATATCTCTCGAAGCTATTCAGGTGAAGTAGGTGGTTTTTTTATTACATTTTGGCAATTCATTCGCAAAGTAAATATAGTGCATAGATCCTGTTGTAAATTTTTTTTACAATAAAATGAAGAGAGCGTTGTAATGTTTTAAGTAGTGTTTGTAATTATATATTATTAAAAGAGTAATATTTGTAATTGCGTTTTCGAAAACGGTTGCATCTGTGAAATTTAAAACATGGTAAAAACTCCATCTACGGAAATGTTTATTTTTTGAGAAAAAACGAAAATTCGGTGCCCTCTAGTGTAAACATCAGTAATCTTATATCGAAAATGATAATAACGGGTGTACTTAAAATAATTTTCACTATAAGAATACTTATAGATACACTAGATGGCATTAAAAAATTGCACTTGTTTTCCATTTTTTCCTCAAAAATATTGAGTCGCAAATATTTTCGTTGCGTATAGAATTCATAATTCACGAACGATTTACAAACAATAATTGAGTAGCCACAGTCATGGGGCGCTGATCCTAAGACCGGTTGGACACGCACCACCACTCAAATTTAACTACAACTAAAAAAAATGTTCGATGCTAATTTCATTCTTAGTTTTAGTGGTAGTTCATTATACACTGTGTTGTTTACTGTTAGGTAACCTAATTATTGTGTTATCATATCGACTGCTCTTCTTCCTTTGTTTAATGTTTTCTTCAAATGTAGTACATACTTTGTTGGCCATAGTTAGAACTACAGAACAGTATAGCCAATGTGGTTTTACAATTAGTTTAAACAATACTATCGATATAGATATTATTCCAAGATATTTATACTTTTTAATCCATCACACAGTAAAATCAGTCTCACACACTAAAATTAATACTCCATTAATTACATTAATTATGCTTTATTGACATCATTCAAGTGTTTAGGATTGCTAACAGGTTTAATATTGATCAATTTCGTTGATACATATTTTACTGTTGTCTTATAGCAAACAGCTTCCTACGTCTTGTACAACGTATGTCTTTTCTATGTCGCCAAGACCATTATCTTCAAGAATTTGCTGAACTTCAGCTGCGTACCGGTCTGATAGAGCCCTGGTCCTGCCCCTTACGTATAATGTTTCTGCGAAATCAAAAAATAGTTGAATATCCTAAAGACTAACGATTGATTTCTTGTACACAAAATAATTCAATTTTTCATTATAAATACAAGACAATATAAGACTTAAAAATATTTTTTATATGCCGATGCTTACCACTTCTGCTGCTGCTGTCTACATTAACGCAATTGTAATCGATGGTGTACCAATCGTAATTGAACCCAAGAATTTTATATTGCACTGCATCGTCGGCATTGTTGTATTTTACGTTTATAATCCCTTGACCGTCATTACTAGCCAATGTCACTACGCCATCAGACCTAGAACGTCTTCGTACCGAAGAGATTCTCGATGATGTAAGTGACGTTCTTGTAAAGTTTAGAGACTCGCAGTCGGCCTGGATGTTGAAAGTGAACACGGTGTACCATCTCCTTATATTGGCTCCATACTATTAAATATATATATATAAAAGAGATTACATATAGGACATCGCAAAGTCAACCATTTTAAGAATACTGCAAGATAAAATGTCAGATCTATCTAGCAGTAAAATTAAATGACCTTAGCTGGTTATCGGACTCTCAAACTCTAGACATTATTGCAACCCCTATGTTTAGATAGCACTAAAAAACCAGGACTATTTATTCAGGATTCCTTTTAGGGTTCCATACGTCCGAATGAAAAACGGAACCCTTATTATAGGATCATTCGTGTGTTTGTCTGTCCATCTATCACAGTCGGACGGATAACGCAAATAAATTAATTTTGACCATGAGGGTNAAAAGAGGGGAGGTGTTAGATACCTCTCATATTTTATCACTGGTCCGTGTTATTTAATACCAAAGTTATGTATCTAATGTTAAAAGTGCACTTTTCAATAACTTCTTTCAAATAACACTAATCCTAAACTTATATCATATTTCTTGTAACTTGTATTCACTAAGTTTTCCATTTTTGTATCATTAATTTGTAGCCTGGTCTAGCTTAAAATCACCCCTTTTCTCATATTTCATTCTATTGCTGTCGCTTGTTTCTGCCATCTGTGCACTTAAAACCTAGCTTATCGCTTGTGAGAATGCCCAAGATTCTTTTACATATCCACTTCAGTTTCAAAATTCATTATTGACAGATTTATTGCAGTTTCACTTCTCAACCTTATTTTTCTATGCCTCAACGAATACCGTATGTAAAAAATGTCTAAAAGCATCTTGGGGGCAAAAACAGTTGTATATTTAAAAACATACTCAAGTCAGTATGTCAGTCAGTAGCAGTCTAGACCTTCACTTAATCAGAACCTCTAATTTTAACATTCTACAACCATCACTGTACCAAGGTAAGGGACAAATAAATTAGTTTAACTTACTTCGCTCGCCCTCTTTTTATTATTAAGAAATTGTTATTGTGTCGGCAAACACATAGAAAACACTGCTTGGTGTCAGAAGCCCTGAATATAATGAATATTAAATACATTAAATATATTATGTAAAATTTGTATATACATATATCCTGTCCTGTCATATATATATATACGATAAATTGTCGGATACTTTGATTTGAAACATCAAAAATATATACGTATATATATATTANGTAGCATCGTACTACAGATGGCGTTTACCGCGCCATTTGTGCTATTTTCTAAAACGCGCTGTTAAGACAGCAGGTAAAAGATGGTCTGTGTTCTGTCGGAGCTGCCTGCGACGCGCTGATGAGATCCAAAAAGATCGAAATCGCGATCCGCGTCTGGCAGTTTCGACAGAATACAGATCACTTCGAAATATTGTTTTCTTTATTGGCTATTTTATTAAAATTGTTTGTTCTTATATTATAACGACCCAAGTTTCACGTGAACGAAACAATGAGTAAAAACTAGTCGACTTACGTAATTAACCCCTGGGAAATCTTCTACCGGTTTTACATTTCTGTCTTCACATTGACCTTGGGAGACGTATTGTGAATAACAAAATGAAATTAAGGCAAGAAAAACAATCGCGGAAAGTTGCTTAAACATTTTTATTACTAGGCACTTCTACGTCTGTTAGTTGCAAAGTGTATTGGTACTACAGTTTTCCGAATGCGTATATATATATACGAAGAAAAGTGGTCCAGCAAATCAAATTATTTAATCTTATCGTTCGATTGGGGATCGAAGTTTAAGTTGTTTGTTGTCGGAAATGTATCGTTATCTCTGATCTACCAACGACTTAGGGACTTTTCCTAACGCTAATTGGGGAGGGGTAGGAGAAAGTCAATTTGGGCATTATGGCCCTGTTACGTGGGGGTTGGGGATGTCAGAAATGGATGAATTTATGGATATATTACTCAATAGTCCTTATTCTGAAAGTGTATCTTTTGTGGATATTCATGTCTTCGTGAAGAAATCATTATAAACAAATAAAATTAATTAATCTAATCATGTATTATTAAGTAGGTATTCAACAATATGTTTTTTCTTTATCGGAAATGCGCAATTATTTTTCATCCTTCAGCCGATAATAAAATAATTAGAATAAATCGAAGAGCAAATTTAATTTTTTATGTTTTAATGAGGAAACAACTTTTTTAAATTAAACATTAAAAAAAGAAAATAATGACTCGAAAATATTGTTGCTTTTTAATATTATAAAATTCAATTTTCTGGGTGTCGTCTATATATATTATGTAGTTCAAGGGTTACCTTTTTCTTCTATTACCTCTAGACACTTTTTATGTGCAGGAAAATTGTTCAAAAAATGCAATTAATTAACCTGATTGTGTTACTAATTTTTATATCGGAAATGCGCTGTTGTTGCGCTCCATTAATGATAAAAATTTTTTCTTATTAAGTGGGTAATACAATAGAATTTTGTCTGGTAAAGTGTTTCGTGGAAATTTTCGTAAATGTTTAATCGTAAATTTCATTCATTCATTTTTAACAAGGTGCCACAACAATATTATTATCCAAAATTATTAACTCCAAGTAAAACTTCTATTCCACTGTATTTTGTATACTTATTACAAGTGAAAACGTTCCTTCACGAAGGCAGTCAGTAAAATAGTGAAGCCAAATTAGGGTTTCGATGTTTTTTTATTGATATAAAACGAACATCGACGTTTCGCGTACGTTTGGTAATTAATTACATTGCATTACATGTCAGAATCAGACCATGGTCCGGAACGAAATCTTTTCCAGCATACTCTAAAATTCCATTTATATATGCAGTTAAGGGATTATCCACTTCATCAGGACACCCCTGATTTATATTTATAAGTGTAGAAAATGATATACATATACAAAACGAGCCAGAAAAGTATCTGCTCGTATTTTTTGGGGGCAATTGTTAGATGTATGTGAAAGATGTGGATGATCGAAGTGCCCTTGTCTAAAAATTGTTGGGTAAATGGGGGTTGAATGTTGTAAACAATTAGCGATGTATGCAGTAGTTGTTTATTAAATCTAATTGATTAGCCCAATTATGTTTCGTCATGGTATTGATTCTTAATTTTTTTTAAATCGGATACGTGCACTTGTAATTATCAATGATAAAAATCGCAATTCATTAACTTTTTAACAAAACGTGTCGTAATAAATCTATTTTAGTGTAAGTTATCTAACGTGATTTAAACTTTTTAAATATCCGTACAATTTTTGGAATATATTTACTAGTTTTTAAC